AGCTTACTCTTCATTGCAATTAAAGTAACGATATTTTTCATGATCCGAATTGAAAAATGTGTAACGTTCTATAGTTCGAGAAGATAGCACTTAAAATTATTTTTGTGACCTAGAAAATATTTTCTAATTAAACAGGAACAGAAGTAAGCAATTTTGTGAAAATGTAAATAGTTTTTTAATTTAGAATAGTAGCAGTTAGTTAGCTTAACGATAGATATTATTAGGACAGATTTACTTCTCGAAATAACTAATTAACTTGGATATGTGTAGTTAATTTTAAATAGCAATAATAGTTAATTGAAGTAAAAGTAGCGTTGTCAACTTCAACGAATTTCTCACTTACATAATTTAGAAATGTAATTTTTTGCATATTTTTATTTTTGATGAAATTATTTTGCTGCAGTTTAAAGATGAATTAATTGATTAAAATGATGAAAAGCAATAGTGTATTGTGATTCTAACAAAATTAAGGTATGATAATCAAAGTAATGGTATATTAATACTTATAAATATAATGATTATTAATTATGACTAGTTTTAGGGTGTTCATATGGTATACAATGCACAAGGGCATCCTAGTGGCGAAGCTTTCATTCAAATGGATTCTGAGATTAGTGCAGCAACTGCAGCTGCATTAGCACATAATAAATATATGCAAATTGGAAAGAAGCAACGATATATTGAAGTATTTCAATGCAGTCCAGAAGATATGAATTTAGTTATTACTAATCCGCCGCTTCCACCACAAATTATTTTACAGCCAAGACCAATTTTTCCACAGCGTATGCCATTTTTTAGCACTTAAACTCACGTTTTTTAATTATTTGGTGCTTTGTAATATACATTATTTTTCAGGTCATTATATGAATAATTCTAATTTAAGTAAGTGATATTATAAATAATCAAAACCCTTCGAATTCTTTATGATTTCATATTTTACAATTTTTAAATTACAAATGAATTGTGTGTCAAAATGATATCAAGAAGTTGGTAATAATTATCTTTCATGAAAATTTAAGAAAGTAGTGCAGACGAATTTAGTAATTTTAGCGGTACAAGGTTTGGTACCAGCAATAATACCGCCATTTACTCCGGTGTATTGGCCATGTGCTAGTCCTCCAGCATCACCATGTATTTACCCACAACCTGGTCTTGTGCTAGTAACCGGTTTATGTCCAAATGTTACACCACATGATATTTTGGCATACTTTCAAAGCAATCCTGAGGTTAATTACTTTAATATTTTGTACCTGAGATGTGTTGTTCTTTTTTTATTTTAGACAAACTATTTGTAAATTAATGTACATGAATATTATACATAATATAATAGTATTAGGGAGAGTTGACGAAACGAATTCAGACTTTTCAAAAAAAGATTTTCAAGGAAAAATATTTAGCTAACATTCATTAAATTGCTAATTAAAATTTCTGTTTGACTAAATCTGTGTGCAGTTTTATTTTTCACATTTTTGCTCCACGTTGTTTGTTTTGCCATTAGATTGTATTTGCAGACAATTTATTCAATCAAAAAGAACTTATTAACTTTCTAAATTAATTTCTTAGGTAGCAGTAGAAAGTGTTCAAATATTGCGATGGGGTACAGCTCAATGCACTGGTGAAGCATTAGTACGTTTTCGTTCTCAGATGGACGCGGAACGAGCTTTGACAGAACACGTGGGAGCACCACTTGGTGCTATACCATTGAATCTTTCACTTATTCATTCCTAATACAAATCATACTTTCTAATTTGCTTCATAATTCATACTTTTTTATCTAATTCTCATTTATGTTTCATTAAACACCAAATTTTAAAAGCTCATTATAGTTTTCATAATTTATTGTCTGAAGTTCAAAATAACAATAATAAAAAACAGGAAATTTTTAGTCTGTTTCTTGTTGTTTTGTACTGAAATTTTGCATCTACAAAGATAGTAAGTGATATTTTTGAAAGTTTAAGTAGTTATTTTCAGTTGCATTATTAGTGTTATCAATTAAGTATCACTCACTCAATGATACAGTTATTTTTATTATATATTTAATATTTATTAAAATTATTGATACTTTCGATTTGTTTTTTTTACTAAAAAAATGTCTTATTCTAACTTTTAACTTCAAATTTAAATTTGAGCTCAAATAACGATAATGTGATAACTGTTCGTGCCTTATTTTCTTCTAATACGTTATTCACTCATTGTTTATTATTTCAGTTTTTTATCACGTATTCATGTTTTTTTTTTCACATACCAAAATAATTTCTTAATTATTTAATTATTCGTCAATTTGGATTATTAAAACTTTTCATGACTTCATTAGCATAATTTATTTTTATTTATTAATTTTTTAAATTTATAATAATATTTGCTTCACTTACAAAGCAATTACTATTGTGCGATATTATTTTATGTGCCAAAAATAATGGTTTCTTTTTACTGTATTATCCACCACTCATCGACCATATTTTGGTGTAATTTTTTCTTCGCACAAATTTTTTAGCTTTTCATTGTTTAAATTATTTTTGATGTATTAAATTCTTTGAAAATTTGTTATCAAATTGAATTGAAACAGTCTAAAGCACTACAAGAAATGAAATGAAATTGTGTTGCAAATATGTCAAATTTTTACAAAAATTCAAACTGTTTTTTGAAGTTCAAAAAATAACAGTACATTGGTACATAGCTTCAAAATTGTTATACTTAGTGCTAAAGTTGGTTTTATTATGATATACTTCTTAATATGAGACTGCAATTATCAAAGAATTCTTGCTGTTATTTAAGGCATCAGAATTTTTAAATATTCATCTTGCATAATTATAAGATCAAAAACTTTCTTGCAGAACTGAGCTTTGTTAAAAGAATACCAAGGTTGCACTGTTTTTCTATAATATTTTTTTCTGAGATGAGAAACGGAATGTATTTGTTATTTTACAGCTAAATTTGTAATGAAAAGCATCAAATTTTTAAATGAATTTGAATTTGGATTCAAAATAATTGTTAGATAGTTCACTGTGAACTCTTCAATAGTATTCATCCTGAGAGTACTAATGAAGAAAAAGACTAAAGGCGATATGCCTACAGTCTTAAATAATTTCAAGTCGAAAAAACGTGAAGTATATGAATTCTTTTAGGAACTGAAATATTTTTCAGCAATACAAAATTAAATAAATTTTTTACAATAATTACAGTTCATTGTGATTTATTTGTGAAACGTGAAAATAAAGTGATATGATATCAAAAGACTATTTACGGTTGGCGGATAAACAGAACTTGATCTTTTTACGTAATCTAAGTTTACTTCTGCATTCTGTAGTCAAAAAGCAAAAAACATCGCATTGGTTGCTTTTGTTTATTCATTTTAAGACTAAAAAGTTTTCTAATTTTCTCAATTTCGTCTTAATTGTTTAAATTTTTTTGAAAATGAATGATTTTTGAATGGAATAGTTGTTTTTGTTAAGTTTTTCAAACAATTTTAGCTGAACAGAAATAATTTACACAAATTAGTTTATGATTTAGCTTACATAAAAAATAAAAACAAAGTAATTAAAATGGATTTATTTTGGTTAAATCGCATATTTATTTAAAATGAACAACTTTGAATTAAAAGCAAAAAGAAAAGGAATATTTTTTAATTAAAATAAAACGAATCAGACATTTAATCATGCTTGGATTCAGAAATTTTATTTGCTGAATATAAATGCTCAGAGTGTTCATTTAAAATAAAAATTTAACTTAAACACATGTTATTTTAAGTGAAGCGTAATTACATTTTTGACATATTTTTTAGAAGTTTTAAATTCCAGACAAATATATTATCAAAATTGATCAACTTGCTTGAAATTTAAAAAAGTATGACTTGTTTCTGTTGGCAAAATAAAAGAATACAATTTCAAAAAATAATTTTTAATTTTTTTTGCAGTAGAAAAGATTATTTTATCAAGTAAATGAGTAAAAATGTTTGAAAATTCATACCTTCTGATTTTTACAAGGAATAGAGTAATCCATTGTTTTGGTATATAAATAATAGTAATATGATTCAGTGATAACAAACAATTTATCGATCTAAAATATCTTTTTACTATTCAAAAAAAGAAAATTAAATTCGCTTTTTTAAACACAAATTAAAGTTAATCGGAACAAATCTTTTCAGCTTTCAACTCTATGAAATTTAAAAGTGACACAAAAATGAGAATAATAAAAAAGACATAATTTTTATATTCAAATTTAATATTATTATCAACCATTTTATTCAATTTCATATTCAATTTCACTTTTTTAAATTTCAAATGATGACGACTAAATGACAAAATAGCACTCTACTACATTAAAATTGAACTCATTCTTCCACTACTTTTTCGGAAAAGTTACTGAAATCAAGCGTGAAAAGTATGTCTATGTTTGCTAACATACATCAATTATCTACGCAAATTTAATTCGTGTTCATAAATGTGAAAGACTTGACTATGAAATGGAATACTTAAAATAAAATTTAAAATTAGTGATTTTTTAATAATGTAATCGATTTTCTCGTCTTTTTTGAGTAGCTAATGAAATTTGCCTTAGCTATAATTTCAAATAACATTCAAAAGAATCCGTAAAATGAGAGGTCATGAAAAGGTCGTGCTAGTAGGCTCAATCATTCTGAAAGGCAAAAGGATAACATTACATTTTGATACATTTTTTTTTCATTTCAAAATTTCTGAATTTTTTAAATTCAAAAGAAATAATCGTTTTGATATAATTTCTTTGCTTTTCTTCCCACTTTGATCTCTTAATTTTTGTTTACACTTTTCTAATATTTTTGAAATTGTACAAAAATTAACATAAAATGAATGATTAGATCACATTTAATATCTGAATAATTTCATTTCCAAATTTTTTCTGAGAAAATAATCAAAAAAAAAAGAAAGAAAAATTAAACCGTAACAAATGTGACAGATTTGGAGAAGTAGAAATGGGAAATAATAAAAGGTTACGGAAGGGTAAGTTGACAAAATTGACCTAAATACCTAAAAACTTTTAAAAGACATTGCCACCAAATGTGTTTGTCACCTTTACGCTCGGGAAAAATTATACTTAATTTTTATTTTATTTCTTAGCTTTGCTCATATTTTAATATTTCTAGTTAGGTCAACGGATTTTATGAATGCAATAAGTGTAATAATATAAATTTTTGCTAACTTTAAATTTTAATCAATTGCTTACTTCTTTGTATTATGCTGAAATTAATAATAATATTAATACTAGTATTAACATATTGTCAGTGATCGAAATTCATAATTAAAAGTTTAATTTTATTTCTGGTCAGTGTTAATCACTATTCTCACGGTCAATCATTATCACTCAGTTTCATCAGTACTTTCTCTTGTCTATGTTACACGAGAGTAATAATAATATTACTAATAATAATATTTTTCACTGCCTTGATAAATTCAATAAAATAGTAATAAATACATAGTGTACTATCAACAATAATGTTTGCACAAAAATTACAGTATTAAAATTAGAAGTGTCAAGAATAATGAAATCCTTTACATTATTAGCATTAATAATGATAACAACAATAATTAATAATTATTTTATTTAGAACCATTCTATGCGAATATTTTAGATAAATATTTTTGCTTTCAGTAAGTTTGAAGTATTGAATTTAGAAGTAAATTGTAACTGTGCTAAGAAATTGGTAGCAGAAAAATTAAGTGTTATTTCAGTAACTGCATTAAATATCAATATCATGGCAGTTTTGTAGGTAATTTTAATGACTGTGCTCTAATTGTTAAAGAAATTTTGTGTTTGAATTTGTGATAAGAATTTTCAAATATTAAGCTAATAAAAAATGATCTTATGCTAATTTCTGCAATTGGACATATTATGTTGTATGACTGAGATATGAGCTTGAGTAAAGGATAGAATCTTTAGAATGGAATACTCAGAATCACAAATTCTGAACAAAATATTGTTTGCATGAAACAATTCAAAATATTTTGGTTAAATTTTTAGACTTTAGTTGTAATTTGTATTGTAATTGAACTAAGGAAAGAGTTCAAAAAGTAAGTAACTTTTTCTTTTTTAAATTGTTGATGCTTAGCTGAAAGTAAGAGAAATGCACAATAAGTATGAATTACTTTTTTGATTATTCATTTGTTGTGAGAATATACAATGTTAGAATTGTTTGTTTTCAGATTCTGAACAATTGTATTAGTTTCAATTCATAAATTAGCATTCGATTCAGACAACATGCATATTCTTGGATTTTTCAAAAATTAAATTTACTCTAAATTATGCTAAAGTATTATTTGTTTATTTCATTTAAAAAATTACAAGAAAATACTGTATAAATTTATATCTAAAAATTTATTCATTTTTTTTTGTTGATACAATTACAAATAAAAATAATATGAAAGAAAATATTTGCAATGAAAAATAACAAAGTGTTGCAATATTTTTGATGTAAATATAATTTTTATGCAAATATAATCTAAAATTATATCATTGAATTGTGTAAATTTAATTGAATAAATATTAGAAAGAGAGAAAAAGAGAAAAATTATAACAGAAATAATAGAGCAAAATTTAGTGGAATAATTTTAGGTATAAGAGAAAAAGTTACCACATTAAGATAAGGAATAGATAGACGTTTAAGGGAAGGGAAGAAGTAGTGAGTGACCTCAAGGTAACAAATTAACTAAACTAACTGTCATTGACCCCTGAGATACGGTTTCCCTAAATTCATCGTCATCTGGAAGGATGATGATGAACAAAGTGGCAGTAACTGACACAAGCAAAATCATCTATCTATCTAATTCCTTACCATTTCTTCTCCTCCTTCTTGCTTCTTTATTGTTTACTACTATTGCAAGTTTATTTTGATAAATTATCAAAATTTAAATTCAATTTTAAATATCTTTTGTAATCCCTTTAACAGTTATCATTCAAGCTGTTGTCATCGTTGTTTTGCCTCATTGCTAGTACCTTTCTCATTAGCATTTACGTCAGCAATAGTTAGCAATGACTATTTTGCAAAACGAACAAAAAATGCATTTATTTAAAGAAGCAAAAGTTAATTACTTATTATTTGTCATTAATTTTGCTGATTACAAGTTTGAATTAAAGGATATTAATCAAATAGTCAAAAAACACGAAAAAGAAGCATTCTTGGTGGTTCCAGAAAATACCAGGAAGTAGTTATCAGTATTCCTGCTTCTACTTTTACTGCTACTGTATTTCTAGTGCTATGCATAGCCTTAACCTTTCACCTTTAACAGCTATATTTATTCATTATATTGCCATTCTCTACTTAACGGCTAATTTTGCAACAGTATTTGCTGAAACTGAAACGCAAATTCGTAAGACAATTTTGTATTTGAGAAGTTTTCCTTCAATATACTTTTAAAATTGACCAAATGACAAATGCATTTTGCAGTTATATTCACAAAAAGTTTCAAATATTAATAAGTGTGAAATGTTTTCAGCCATATTATTTTATCATGAATTAGTTAGGTATTGATGCAAATCTACTATTAACACCGCAACAAACCATTTATTACTGCAGCAATGCTGCTATCAAAAACTTGATTGATAATAACTTTAATTTGTAAAATTACCTTCATCTACTTTTATTATTATTATTATTATTATTGTCAATAATATTATTGTCATAACAATAATTATCATCTTTATTAGCAATGAATACACATATGAGAGCAGGTTAATTTTATGAGAACAAAATAAAAATATCATTATTGCGATCAGATTTTAATTAGTATAACTTTTTGGCTACTATTGATATGTGAATGATTTTTGTTTTACTTTGGAAATGAAATAGGCACCTTTTAAATGTTTGAAAACCACAAGAATTTACTCAAATTAGGTCATTTCTGTTTTCTTGAAACATTTGAACTGCACTCAGTCCTAATCAGATTTCTGACTTTGAGCGATATTTAAATCCAACTTTTTGATTGCTTTGTTGATGATTTATTATTAAATCATATCATATCATATCATTGCTTATGATAATTTACTTTCGAATTATAGCAATTTTCACCACAATTCTTTTTATCTTCAAAAATTTCAGTTTTGATGAATAAATACATAGTTAGATGACAGTAGGTCATATTTAGCATTATAAACTTAAAATCCGAAAATTAATCAAAAATTATGAATTTGCGAACTTGAAATACAATTAATTATTAAAACTTAAAATAAATCTGCTCAAAATATAAAAAATTGCAGTAAAAATTAAATTAGGACAGTGAAAAATTTCGATATGAATGATAAAAGTTAAAAATTAGTTATCATGCAGTGATTTTACTATTTCTCTTAAATTATAACTTACCGAAGTATTTATATTGAAATGGCTTAAGTTATAATTGCGTGCTAACTTGTATCTTACAAACGTAAAAATGTAGATAATAATATTCAGATTATTAAACTATTCACAGTCCATTTGTTAATGTAATGCAATTTTTTATATTAATCAAAAAGTAATTAAGATCTTGCTTGCTAAGCCATGAAAAAGCTTCAGAACTTTTAATACTGCAATTACTTACTGAAGAATTTTGAAGAAAAAAATTGACTTCCACCACTAAATTATAGAAATCTCTCATAATTATATTTAAAAATATTTATATTGAAAGTATGCAAACTTGTTTGTTTGAGAGGTCGTGCAAAACTACCCGTCAAATATGACACAACATGGATTGTTTTTTGCTATTTTCAGTGATTTCTTCCGATTTTCTCAAAAATATCATCAAGAAAAGTTTCAGTTTTAAAAAATAACAAGTAAGACCAAGTAAATATTTCTGTCCTCATGAAGTTTTGAAAGTATGCATGACTAATTACAGAAATTATTACTTTTTTAGCAGACATATCACTCAATAATTAATTATTTGAACATTTCAGTGATAAAAATAGAAGGAAGCTACACTTCAATATCACCAATTAGTGATATATATTATCAGAACAAAATAATTACAATTTTTTACATTTTTTTCGCAAACAAAAGTAATTTTTAAATTTACAGTAATACTGTAAGGGAGTGAATTACAACAGAACAAAGCAATGATTTTTATTTACTTTGCTGTTTTCGAATGGTAATAGTTATTATATGCAAGAGCATTCATGACATGAACTTTGCCTTAAATTTTAAATTTAGAAACTGATAAAATATGCAAAATTTGCTACATTTTTTCATCACGGACATACCAAAGTGATGCATTTAAAAAGCTGCATAACGTGGAGTTTATTACTGCTAATTTCTTCGTTCAAAAAAAAAAGATTTGGATAAAATAGTTTGATGACATACTTTTTCAAGAAAGAAAATGGAACAAGTGCCATTGTTTTTGTAAGTTGACCTCATATTAACGCCGTTGGCACGAAGAATTAATTTCATCTCTGTCGCAATTTAAAAATTTGTTCATTTGAATTAGCCATTTTTTATTTGCACAAAAGAAATTTTCAAAAATTTAAAAACTAAAATATCAAAACTGAAATATAATAAGCAATAAAGACAATAGCATTTTTCAGCGAGATAAATTACAATTTTGCAGTATTGTTTCAAAATTTGGCATGATTCTATTCATACTTGCACAAAAGAACGTTACAATTAAAAATTAAATGAATTTTCAATAGATTTTTGAATTTAAAATTATTAATTAAAAATGTTAATTTCTTTTGAAATTAATTTCTTTTGCTAAGCAAATAAAAACTTTTCAAAATATTTTTGCTAGCAATTATTTTTACTAAGAAAAAAGTGATACATTTCATACATAATTTTAACAGATTAAATTGTTTTTGTTAATCAATGAAGTAAAATTAATCAAAAAAATTTATGAGAAGTGATACTGGAAAAAAGTTTAAAAAACTTTGTAATTATAATAATTTCTAAATTTTATTTTAAAAGTTTCGATTGTGTAATTTTTAAGAATTAAAAAAAAATATAAATATTAAATGTAGGAAATAAAAAGTAATACCAAGTATAAATTTCAGCCGCATATTCAGCTTGTAGTGAAGGAGAATCACCGGTGTTTGTACTTCGACACAATGCTACAATTGGAAAAACTTACAAAAGAGCATCTACAGCAAATCTTATGGATTGCACTGAACTTTGTGCAAGCAGCGATGTTTGTTCCAGTCTTAATTTTAAATTTGAATTTTATTTCAAATATCAAAACTTTGATATATGAGTGAAACTTGATTATTTCAAAAAGTCAAAAATTAAAAATTTTCAGAATTGCTTAGCAGTTAGTTATGCAGGCAATGTTTGCAAATTATTGTCAAGTATTAATGAATTTGCTGAAAATCCAGTAGACTACTCATTGTTAAGCAAAAACTGCGTCAAGGTATACTTTTTGTTGATACAATTTTTTATTCTTGTCAAGAATAGTTTTATGAGAGTTTTCAAAATTAAAGGTTTATACAATTTGTAAAATGCTTGTTTCCAGATGAAAAATAATCACAGTTCATTAGGGCATATTGTAAATAAACATTTTCAACGAATTAAATTAATGTAAGATATTTGTCTTTAATTCAATCAATTTTTGTAGTCAAAATGCAACAAAATTCATAGTTAATAAAATAGTAAAGCAAGCCTAATATTTCTGTTAAATACTTATTGAAAAGATTAATTAAATTTAAACAAACAATTCAATTATAGAGTGCGCGAATCTGTTCATCACCGTTTCAGTTTGATGCACATGAACAAAAAATTCTGGTTGGATTTGCTCGAGAAGTCTGTTTTCAAGCTTCACTTCTTTTAACAAATTTATATTTTTAGACTCAAATTAACTTTCAGTGAAACAACTAATGATAACTACATCAATAATTCAAAATCATACCTGGAAAATATACCAAAACTTTAAATAATAATACAAAAAATATGTTTGACAAAAGTTTCAAAAAGATTGCGTAGATTCTTTCTGATAATTGATTTTGGTCCATTTTCAGTATGTACCTATGCAAATTTGCGCTAATTTCTTTTTACAAAAAATCAAAACAAAACGATATCATTTTTAGCTAATAAATAAAACTTTCATTTACTTATTAATGCAGGTAGTAGTAGCTGATTCGTTATCACTTTGTATGGCAGCTTGTCTGAATGCATTTGACTCATTCGGGTTTGAATGTGAGTCAGTAATGTACTATCCAGTAGATTCAGAATGCATTTTGAATACTGAAGATCGCTTAGATCGACCTGATCTATTTGTGGATGAGTTAGAAGATACCGTTATTTACTTGGATAATAATTGTGCTGGATGTATGCTAATTTTCTTTCCTTGCTTCTGATTAGAGATAAAATCGATTTTGTGCTTGAAATAAATAAAACTTAAAATTAAAGTATAATTTTATTTGTTATGCAAATTTACCAGCAATGCAAAATAATATTTAAACTCATAAGCAATATTTCAAAAAATGTTTTTTGCCGCTTAATAAAATAAAGTAATTTGTACTTAATAAGTAATTTGTAAAGTAATTTATTCAAAATTTTCACTTTACTTATTTTCAGATTTTCACAGTAATGTTTCAGTCATTATCTTCTTTTAAAATATAATTTAATTTAATTTAATTCAATAAATAATTTTATTCGGCGATTTTAGCGCAGTGTTATGCACCGTACGTTACTCAGTACATAGCTGTAGCCAATAATCAACTGGCCAATGAACTTGACAGACACTTAGTGGCTGATCTCGAATCTTGCGAATCACTCTGTACTCAACGATTATCCGATACAGTAACCGTTTGAGACACTTATAAGTTTCAATTCAGATCAAACATATAAAATTCAAAAATCCTTACAATATTTAATATTTTATGAATTATTAATTCTTTAAAACTGCCTTTGGAATTGAAGTCAAACAATGGTTTTGTGATTATGTGAAACGAATAATGTGATCATCGCAATAAGTCAGAAATGTAGTTTTTTTTTAAAATGTTGGACATTTTGTCAAAAACAAAAAAATCTGTCCTTATGACTTAAAATGGAAATAAAAAGTTTTGTGGTCTTAAGAATGGAAATTAAAAAAAATTTCTGCGCACGACATGTTTGTTTTAAATGTAAGATTGAGTTTCTTTTAGGCCAGTGATTTTAACTGCAAATCATTTATGCACAATCCAAAAACTAATGTTTGCATACTATCGGATGAACGTTCGAAGCCACTTGGTAGAGCAGATTTAGTGAAAGCCGATGGCTTTATATATTATGAGAAAAAATGTTTTGCTTGTAAGTTATTAAAATAATCAAATCAATCAAGTTGTTTTTATCAGACCACATTATTGCCAAAATAATGCTATACAATAAATATTTTTACTCAAAAATATAAATACTATTTCAACAGTATTTATATATAAAACTTGAATTTCAGCTCCACGTACGTGTCGTAATGTGCCATCTTTCGAACGTGTCCCACAGATGATATTGGTTGGCTTCGCAGCGTTTGTTATGGAGAATGTACCATCAGTAACTATGTGCCTTGATCAGTGTACAAAGTATTCATTTTATTTCACTTGAGTATATGTATTGAAGTTTTTAAAAATAGTAAATTCATGTATTCAATTAGATTAGCATAACGAGTAATCTGTAACCAATTTTTATCGCTTTTTAATAAATTAATGTGGAGTGTTAAAATATTTGATGAGAAACAAGGTCTCAGAATATAAATATTTGATTACTGTCATGATCAGAAATGCAAATTTCTTTTGGATTCATTCAACTGTGTCATTTAAGACATGTTTAATCTGTTTCAGTCCTCCACCAGAAACGGGCGAAAATTTTGAATGCAAATCTGTGATGTATTATTATAATGAGCAGGAATGCATTTTAAACAGTGAAACACAAAAAAGTAAACCGGATTTGTTCATACCGGAAGGAGAAGAGTTTCTGGTCAGATTGAGTTCATTTTCTAATCATATTGGATTGTATAATTCCAGTATACAATTAAATTAAATCTAATCTCATAACTTTTTCAATCATTTAAGACAATAAATAAATTCCTTTTAGAAGACATAATACAATAATTATTATTTGATTAAACATATAATACTAATACTAATTTATCAGCGTACCTTATTTTTGTTTGCATCTATCAAAATGATAACAATTTTCAAATTTTAAAACTTCTATTTGAGAAAGTGTTATGATTACTGTATTAAGGTTGACTACTTTGGTATCACTTGTCATTTGGGTGTGGAAACCTGTCCAAGTGGTACAACTCTCCATGCAATACGTACAGTAAACGCTGCATTACCAGAAGGCGAAGGATCTATTCATATTTTGCAGTCAACTGGAAATTCTGTCTCAGAATGCATGGCAAAGTTTACTTTTCTCATCTATACTCGAAGTAGTAATAAAAATTTATTAATAATAAATTGAATAGTAAACGAAAGATTACAATAATTTCAGCGTAATCATATAAACTTATTCCAATACATTTGATTGGATTTGAATGATATTTTATTTTTTATAATATTCCATAATTTATTCGCATATAGTAAATAATAATAATTTTTACTTGTGTATCAAGTAATGTGAGTAACTTGTTGTAATTTTAACTAGAATTGGCATTTATAATTTGCATAAATTTGATGAAATTTATAGATGTTACGAGATGGCTCCCGAGAAATGTCGTTCATTTAATTATGATAAGCAAACGACTGATTGCGACCTGTTATATGTAGACGGCAAAACAACTTTACGGCCAGTAGTACGTTCGGGCATTGATCTTTACGACCTTCACTGCCTTGCAGGTAAGAATTTCTCGATTAACTCTCTACTTGGCATAGATGAAGTAAATTTAATTAATAAATTCTTACAAATTGTCCAGTTTCATTATTTTATTATAAAATAGGTGAAAGGAAATGAAAAGTTTAACCTTTTGAACCATAAATAATCTGTATTCAGAAGTAAAATGATTACTTTTCCATGCACTCTCGAAAGATTTTAATATTGAAATGAATGAAAATTTAACAGGAAAATAATTATTTCATATTTTAACAATCTTGCATAAAATTGTTAAAATGTAATTACATTTTCGAACAACTTTTAAATTTTGCATGAAATTTTTAGCCCAATCTGCAAATTGAAAAATTAAATAGTGAAAAATGACATTAAAAATAAGCATTTAAAAGTCTAGTTAAAATTAATAAAATATTTTGTCAAGAAATTTTAAGCATATAAAAATAAAAATTTTAACATATTCAAGGTGATCATTAAATCAAATCTAAAAGATTGAAAGTTTTAGCTAGCAAAATAATTATTACAATCATTTATTTTCATATTTATTTCTTACTAAAAAATCAAAAAGTTATCAAATAATTTAATTTTTTAGAAAAAAAAATTTGTGCAACGCAGAAAGATGGAACGCAGTTTTCACGACATTTATACAGTCGTCACGATGGCATACCTTTTGAACATTACGATGCTATTGCTCTTGTAAAATGCTTAGATCTCTGTACATCTGCTGAAAGGTAGAAACAATTTTGCATATGAAAAATTTCTTTGCAGTAATTACTTTCTGAAATTAGCAATTAAACTAAAGTGTTGATCAAAAATAACTGCAATTTTAATTTTGTTGTGTAATATTAACTTTTTTTTCTAAAATTCTGATTTCAAATCAAAAGAATTTTAAAAATATTTCAGATGTGAAGGTGTCAATTATAATCGCAGAAATGGCCTTTGTGAATTATTCGATCAAATTGAAGGAAATGGCAATCAAAATGATTTTGTAGATTTCTACAAGAATTTGTGCTTAGTGAAAGAAATAGATTCAGGAAGTTACAGTGCTGCATCTAACGTTCCGAAAAATTTGCTTTTAAATACTTCTTCTCAGAAACATGATGCTAAATCACATCATTATGTATCATCAAAAGTAAACTTTTCATATTTTTGTTTTTCAATTATTGCACATCTAAAATTTTTTTAAATTAATGTTACTGAAAAGTTTTTATGATTGCTGTACCTGCAATACCTTGATTATTACAGAAAAATTTGTTCTGAAGTAATAATATGATGATAAAGTAATATGACAGATAAAGCCATTCTTACGTGAACAAGAAGCCCAACGACGAGCTCCAGAAGGATCAGTTTCTTCGAAAAGAATCAGTGGTGGTTCCGGATCATCATCTGATGCTAAATTTTCTATTTCTACTTCTGGGAGAATTTCAGGACCAGTTGTGCAAATTAATCCAGATGCTGTGCAAACTATTTGTAATTATGAAGGTATCAAAGTACAGGTAAACAGGCATTTATAAAGTTGAACAAATATATTTCAATTTGTTTCAGTACGAATTAAAATGTTTATATTAAAACAAAAAAGATCAGTGCAAATACGAGAAATGCCAAATGTACAATAAAAGTATGAATTGAAAAAAATTAACAAACATGCAAATAAAAAATTATAGTAACATTGCAGGTGAAAAATAATGAAGCTTTTTCTGGAGCAATGTTTGCGAAAAATAAATATGAAACTTGTCGAGTAGAAGTAAGTGATAGTGAAAGTGCTACATTAGTAATTGGTTTGCCACCAAATTTTGGTGCAGTATTACAAGTAGAAGAAATAGATGATGGAACTGAAAAGATTCCAATCGAGCAGGGGTCATCAATTATTAATAAGTTGAATAAACCATCTAATGAATTACGAGTCAAACGTCAACCTGCTGAATTACAGCGAGATTGTGGAATTCAAGATATGGTTGGTATTGCAAGCAATAATTTGTTTTAGTTTTAGTCTTGTTTTTGTTCATCTTTGGATATAAAATGAATTTGACAAATTGCATCAGTTGTGCGACAATACTTTAGTCGAAGTTATTTCTTCGATTATTTAATGTTAATATTAAATTTAAAATTGAAGATAATTGAAAATTATGCGAAAAAAAAGTTCTTCGTCCGTTTTATTAGAAAAAATTAAGAGTTTTCGCATTATTAAAGCCGTAATAATAAATTTATTGTTGATTAGTTTTAGAAAAATGGTACTTACAAAACAACAGTTGTTATACAGACCAATAACTTGGGAATACCTGGATTAGTCACTTCTATGGATCAAATTTATGAAGTAAGCTGTGATTATAGTTCAATGCTTGGTGGAAAAGTTACTGCTGGTGCAAATCTAACCATCGAGTAAGTTTTAGTAAATTCCAAATTTAGTTTATATATTATTTACTATTTTCAATTATTATTCAGTGCTATACAATTGTAATCAATTCTCAAATATTTAAATTAGGAGAATTTAAAATTTTTTATAACCAAATTAGGATTATTCAATTTTTATATCTTAAAAATTTAGAAATACTGTAAGCACTATATCACCGCAATATAAGCATTATCAATTGCAATCTATTAGCTTGAGATTTTAGCGGTCCGGAAGCGGCTCTCATCCAACCAAAAGGCAAAATTGAACTTAACAATCCTGTACTCATGCAAATGCTCAGTGGTACGGGCGAGCATCAACCTCTTTTACAAGTATTATTCATTTATTGTTGTTGTATTATTTGTTAAATAGTAACATACTGAATAACTTTTGTCATTATACTGAATAATTTTTTCAGGCTAAACTTGGTGATATCTTGGAGTTACGCTGGGAGATGATGACAATGGATGAAGATTTAGATTTCTTCGTTCGAGACTGCTTTGCTGAGCCTGGGAAGTCTAAGTCACAAGCTAGTGAAAGCTTGCATCTCATAGAAAATGGGTTAATTAGTTACAATTATGCTTAGTTAATATCTCAAATGATGCATGAAATTTATTAAATTTATGTTTAAACTAAGAGTTTTTACTCACAAAAGTTTAAAAATTTTATTAATTTTTTTCAATAAAAGTATTTATCATTTAAAACATTTATTTTTCTAGCTGCCCCACACCAGCTGTATCACAAAAAATTATGCCTGAAACAGTTGAAGTATTGTCTTCTTCAGTGAAAGTAGCACATTTGCAAGCATTTCGCTTTGATTCTTCAAGTACAATTAGGATAACGTGCAACTTAGATATTTGCATGGGAAGCTGTAAAGAGGTAAAATTTAATAATTTTTATAATTACATTTTAACTTTTGAATCTTTGATATAATCAAGTGCTAATTTTCGTTGCAGGTAACGTGCCAGTTGGGCAAGGAAGAGAAGCAGTCGTGGGGGCGTAAGAAGCGCAGCACAAACAATTCTGTTACTGATTGTCAGTTGTAATCTGTTGAAGCTTTACTAAAATATTATAATACTATTACAAATAAAATTACAAAATCGCTTGAATAAATGTATTAAATATTATTACATATTTCTATGAACATTTATTAATATACTGCATTTGTGTACGTAATTTATTCTATATCGATCAACTTTTGACTAAGAGTTGAACATCTATAAGTATATCACGTTTTTGTAAATAATTTATTCTGTATTAATCAACTTTTGACTGAGTTTCTTTTTTTTTTTTGTTAGATAACAAAATTGAATGATAACAATTTCAAGCTACAAATTTTTCTGTCACTGTCATTTAATTTTCAAAAATTTATTACTATAATTGTTGTAATGAATTCAATATAAGAAATATAATTATAGATGAAACAGATAGATACAAAATTCC